TCCCAAACATGAGAATGGAAACTGACATCAGGATTAGTGAAGCATATAGAACTCCAAATAGCCATAACCAAAACAAAACTATACCCAGACATATAATAATAACCATGCCAGAAATCCAACTTAAGAATAGAATACAAAAAGCTCTTAGAGAGAAGAGACAGATCACTTATAAAGGAAAGCCTATTAGAATCACAGGAGACTTCTCAACACAAAAATTGAAGGCAAGAAGAGCATGGAGTGAAGTATTTCAGATCCTAAAGGAAAACGATTTCCAACCTAGACTGATGTACCCTGAAAAACTGTCCTTCAAAATGGATGGAGAAATAAGATACTTCCATGAGAAAGAACAGTTAAAAAACTTCATGATCACCAAGCCAACCCTGCAAAGAATACTGAAAGACGGTTTAGGTACACATAGGAAAAAAACACTAAACAAGGCAGATAATTAAGCAACATGGAAAGATAAAGATGCAACAGCAAAAAGATAACATGTCAACAATAAACCAATATATAACAGTTATAACCATTAATGTAAATGGTCTCAGTTCACAAATTAAAAGAAACAGACGGGCAGAATGGAGCAAGAAACAACATCCAACCATATTCAGTCTACAAGAAACCCATCTAGCCCAAAAGGAAACTCACAGACTGAAAGTCAAAGGATGGAAAACAATACTACATGCATATCCCCCACCAAAGCAGGGGTAGCTATTCTGTTTGCAGACAATGTGAACTTCAAACCAATAATGATCAGAAGAGATAAAGAAGGTCATTACATACTAGTTAAGGGAAAACTTCAAGAGGAAGAGATAACAATCTTAAATATATATGCACCAAGCTCCAGATCACCCAGTTATACAAAGCAAGTATTAACAGAAATGAAAAATCAAATAAACAATAACACAATTATAACAGGAGACCTCACCACACCATTGACACCAAGGGAAAGATCAACCAGATAGAAAATCAGCAAAGAAATAACAGAACTGAATCACATTTGTAAACAAATTGACTTAATAGACATATACAGAGTGTTCCATCCAACATCAGAATACACATTCTTCTCAGTGGTACATGGGACATTCTCTAAAATAGACCACATACTAATCCACAGAACATATTTAAATAAATGAAAAAGAGTTGAAATTATCCCATGCATGTTATCAGATCATAGCACCGTGAAACTAGAAATTAATGATAAAAGATACTGCAAAAAGCCCACAAACACATGGAAATTGAATAATACACTCTTGAGCAATCGGAGGGTCACAGGGGGAAATTAAAGAAGAAATTGAACAATACCTACAAGCAAATGAAAGCAGTCCTCAGAGGAAAATTTATTGCACTCAGTTCCCACATCAATAAAACGGAACAAATACAAGTAAACAACCTGATGCTACACATCAAACATCTAGAAAAAGAAGAGCAAGTGAAGTCCAAAGCCAAAAGAAGAGAAAAAATTATAAAAATCAGAGCAGAAATTAATGCAATAGAGACTAAGAAAACAATTGAAGAATCAATGAATCAAAGAGTTGGTTCTTTGAAAGAATAAATAAAACTGATAAGCCCCTAGCCAACCTAATTAAAAAAGGGAAGAAAAAGCTTAAATTTATGCAATAAGGAATGAAAAAAGGAGAAATGACTATAGACTCTGTAGACAGAAGATCATCAACACCTATTTCAAAAACCTCTACTTCCATAGGTTCAATAGCACAAACAAATGGACAGATTCCTAGAAACATATGAAGCTGGGTCAAGGAGATGTAAAACTACTGAATTACCCAATTTCTATTAATGAAATTGAAAACATAATTAAATCCTTTCCTACAAAGAAGAGCCCAGACCCTGACGGATTCACTGTGGAATTTTACAAGAAATATAAAGAAGACTTAATGCTGACACTCCTCAAAGTCATCAATAAAATTGAAAGGGAAACAATTCTTCCTAAGTCATTCCTGGAAGCAAATATAACTCTAGTACCAAAACCGGAGAAAGACCCAACTAAAAAAGAGAACTACTGGCCAGTCTCACTAATGAGCACAGATGCAAAAATCCTCAATAAAATATTGTCAAACAGGATGCAGGATGCAGCAAATCACCAAGAAGATTATACTCCACAGTCAAGTGGGATTGATCCCAGGAATGCAAGGATGGTTCAACATACGTAAATCAATAAATGTAATACACCATATCAATAAAGCCAAAAGTAAGAATCACATAATTATTTCTATAGATGCAGAAAAAGCTTTCGGTAAGGTCCAACATTCATTCATGATAAGAACTTCACAGAAAATTGGAATAGATGGTCTTTACCTCAATATAATAAAGGCCATTTATGACAAACCAACAGCCAGTATCTTACTAAATGGCCGAAAATTGAAGGCCTTTACTTTAAAATCAGACACAAGACAAGGATGTCCTTTATCACCACTCCTATTTAATATAGCACGGGAAGTACTAGCCAGAACAATTAGACAAGAGAGATAAATAAAAGGTGTAAAGACAGGAAAAGAAGAAGTTAAATTATCATTGTTTGCAGATGACATGGTACTCTACATAGAAGACCCCCTAAACTCCATTGCAACACTCTTAGGTATAATAAATAAATTCAGTAATGTAGCTGGACACAAAATGAATACTCAGAAATCAATAGCATTCCTATAGACTAACAACAAAATCACAGAGAGAGAAATAAGAGAAGCCACACTCTTCACACTAACAACCAAAAAAATGAAATATTTAGGAATTACTCTTATGAAAGAAGTGAAAGACCTATACAAGGAAAAGTATAATACACTAAAAAAAGAAATTGAAGATGATCTCAGAAAATGGAAAGACATCCCTTGCTCATGGATAGGAAGAATAAACATTGTGAAAATGGCCATTCTCCCAAAACTGTTATACAGATTCAAAGCAATCCCAATAAAAATACCATCAACATACGTCACAGATCTAGAGAAATCACTCCTAAAATTCATCTGGAACCAGAAGAGACCTAGAATAGCAAAGGCTATTCTAAGCAGCAAAGGCAAGGCAGGAGGCATCACAATCCTGGACTTGAAGTTATGCTACAAAGCAACTGTTGTAAAATCAACATGGTACTGGAATAAATACAGAGCTGAAGATCAATGGAATATATTAGAAGACACAACTAAAAACACACTCAACCACCTTATCTTTGATAAAGGGGCCAAACATGTTCACTGGAAGAATGACAGTCTCTTTAATAAATGGTGTTGGAAAGACTGGCTCTCCATATGCTGAAAACTAAAACTAGACCCATGCCTATTACCGTGTACTAAATTAAAATCACAGTGAATCAAAGATCTGAATATTAAAATAGAAACACTAAATCTATTGGAAGACAAATTGGGTAAAAACCTTGAAGACATAGGGATAGGTAGAGAATTCATGAACAGGACTCAAACCGCACAGGAAATACTTCCAAGAATCAATAACTGGGATCACGTCTTACTAAAAAGTTTCTGCATGTCAAAAGAAATCTCCAGCATAGTGAAAAGAAAACTCACAAACTGGGAAAAAAAATCTTATTGAACTGTCCCTCAGACAAAGGACTTCTGTCTAAAACATATAAAGAATTTTTAAAAAATCACATTCCCGAGATTCAAGGACCCAATCCAAAAATGGGCATCTGATATGCATACACACCTCTCAAATGATGAAATACAAATGGCAAAGAAATTCATGCAAAAATGTTCATCATCATTAGTTACTAGAGAAATGTAAATTAAAACCACACTGAGATTCCATCTCACTCCTGAAAGAATGGCCAGGATCAAGAAAACTACCAACAACAAATGCCGGAGAGGCTGTGGGGAAAAAGGAACTCTCCTGCACTGTTGGTGGGAGTGTAGACTGGTGCAACCACTGTGGAGGTCAGTCTGGAGATTCTTCCAAAACCTGGGTTTGGAAGTGCCATTTGACCCAGTTATTCGACTTCTAGGCATATTCCCAGAAAAACTGAAAGTGTCATACTACAATGGTATATGTGCACACGTATTTATAGCAACACAATTTGTAATAGCCAGATCTTGGAAACAACTAAAGGTCCATCAACTGAGGAGTGGATAAAAAAAGTTGTGGTATTTTTATACAATGGAGTACTACTCATCTATAAATAAGGATCACATTGAGATATAATAAATGGGCACAACTTGAGACCATACTCGTAAGAAAAATAAATGAAACTCACATGTATAAATACCGTATAGTCTCCCTCGTGTAAGAAATAGTAAGAGTACATAAGAGTTTTGGTAATCATGATTCCCCATTACATTGTTTTGAAGTTTTATAATGATCGCATTAGTTGTAATGGGTTTGGTCCTTGTTTGTTTGATTTTATTAACTGTGAAGGTATGAAGGTATGAACAGCTAATTTGAGGGAAACATGTCATTATAATAGCCAGTACTGAAATAAAATATCGTCTTACTTTGAAGTTCTACCATGCTTTTGCTCTTCTGTTTCCATTGGTTCTCTCATGCTGTGTCTTTTTGGATTGTATTACATGTGAAGTATAAACAAATTTTTTTATGGAAAATGAGATAATACAGTAGCCATTGTTTGTTTTCTGTTATTTTGTTTTGAATGCCCTGTAATACTCTCATTCTCTTGAATGTTTTTATACTATTTTATGTTTGATACTATTGTATATGAAGTTATACTCAACTATTTCAAAGAAAGAGACATTGTGGTAGTTTTTATAGGTTGTCTTCTAGTGAAATACTGTGTTGCTTACATTGTTCTGTTCTGATCTGCTTTGTTTTGTCCTGTTTTATCTTAATCTCTTTAAAATAAAAAAAAAAAAAAGAAGAAGAAGTTCCTGGGCGACAGTCTATCATTTGAGACCTAGGCAACCAGGCAGGAGTTAATTTTCTCTTCACGCTGGACAGTGGGCGTGGAGCAGAAGCCAATCAGTGATAAAGAGGCGGGCTTAATGAACTGTCCAATCACATGAGACGGAGTGGGCGGGTACTTCCGGTGTTGTGACTCCCTGTCCACAGCCCGGTGCTGCCAGACTACCTGCTGGTGTCCCTGTTCTGCGAGTTCGGCCGGCTGCGGGCCGCGTGGGAAGGACTCGGGGACACCGGGAAGCCGCGCAGTGGTGATGGTGCGGGGCGGAAGCCGGGGAAGGGAGGGGGTCGGGCTGAGGTCTGAGAGGAGGCGGCCGGAACCGGCTCTGGGAGCCGCAGCCTCCCGCCGAGCTCCGGACCCCGAGGTCCTCCGGGCTCTGGGGCTTTTGCCACTTTTCCCTCGGCGGGGTCCGGGTCACCGCCGTGTCCGTGAGTCGGTCCCCACCGTGACACTGCCGGCCCACGGTGCCGTCCGGTGTGGCCCAGCAGCGCCTCAGCGGTGTGGGGAGAGCGGGGCTCGGGGCGGCCCTGGTTCAGGGCGGCCTGGAGCTGGTGCGGCTGCGGGCGCTGGGTCCCTGGTCTCGGTGCTCTCAGTAGCAGAGCTGGGGATGTGACGGTTATAAATGGCTGCAAGGCAGGGTCTCAGACCCACACCTGCTCTCTTCAGACCTCTGCTTTTTCTATTCACAGTGAAGTCCTGAGTTTCCAGTGTTTCCCCAGATTGCCAGCCTCACACTAGATGGTGCGAATGGCCAAAAAAAGCCTTAACGTTGCAGGTGATGTGACTCGGGAGGAGAGCTTCCCAAACATGCAGTGAACTCCTATGTGGCACACTCAGCAACCCAAACAATTATCACCTCAGTTACTTATGTCAGCTCCCTACTGACATCAATAAAAAACAGTTCATGCTCTCACAGCCCTGTATAATGAAGTCCTTAAGACTAAAGAAAGATGCCCCTGGTGTCTGGGTCTCAGGTCTGCAGACACACCCTCTGTGGGCTTGTCTCTCTCTGACATAGAAATAGGTAGAGAATCAGGGAAGAAAGCGCCAAGCAAAACCATATCGCAAGTATTGGAAGAAGCGGCACGAACCCACTCTGGAGGAGAGTGGAGACAGTCAAAATGGAGTCGCCTACAAATCTGGGGTTCAGACCTGTTTGCCAGAACATGGTCCCCATCTGCACCCTCTCCAAGGATCATGGAGTGATTGGTTACTGGACTTGTGCCATAGGGCTGAGTTTGTTGGGCTCTAGGGGAATTTTCCAGCAATTTGTTTAGCAACTCATTTTGGGCAATTCACCTACTTGAAGGGAGCTTGAAGCCTCAGACTGGCTACACAGACACAGTTGTGACACTGCAGGCTGTCAGTATGACTGTTTGCTGTGACACAGAGTCTGTGTCTCCTCTGCTTCTTAGGGGGCCCAGTCCTTTATCTAACCTTCCCTATGGGTCTCAGCATGAGGAGAATTTTCATTGGAAATAAGAAAAATAGCTCCTTGATTCTTGGAAGCATCTTGAGTGGGTGACCAGGTGGCTGCTCAATCCAGAGCTAGTTGGAGATGACCAGAGCCCAGCAATTGCTCAGTTATTTAATGTCCACCTCTCACGGGTGGTTCTGTGTATTAAAAATGGCCACTTGTAACTGAGGTTCTCAAGCAAGTTTTCTTACTAAGGTTTAAAGGAAACTGGAATTCTAGAGAAAAAGTGGTTATTTTGCACTTGAAGTTCCTGGACACTGGGGACCTTGGTGGAGAGTCGCTGACACTGTACAGTAGGGAAGGCTGCATTCCCCGTTTCCTGAGGAAGTTCAATGTTTGTCTTCTATCTATAGTTTGCTACCTCTTCTTACTTTAATTCTCATCAATATGGCTCAGCCCATTTCCCAAGCTAGATGCCTTATTCATAAGGTTGCAAAACAAACTAATCTTACAATTAGACTATTTAAATGAGGCATTGCAGAGAGCTTAGCATGCTGTGGGAAATGGTGGGGATAGTAATTATTACCCACGTGGAAATAGGTAGTCTTTTCTATCAAAGGAAGTAATTCTAGTAACTCCATTTTAAAAGCATCCTAATTTCTGTAATACTATTATTTTTTGGTAAAATGTACGTGTGCTTCTTTCACGTTTTTGGAAAACTTGAGATCAAGGGGTATTTGGTTGTTGACCTACAATAAAACTTTGCAAGTATGGGCTTTTCAGATCACAGAATTTACTCTGCCTAGAGGCCATGACATCATTAATGTCACCAATCAGTTTACGTCACATGGCCACACTCCACCAGTGGCATGATGACAGTGTACATCAGGGATAAAAGGCAACCTGCCCATCTTGCTTGCTTGCCATTGTCTGGCTGTGTTACCTTATCCTGAAAGAAATTTCACCTCACCAAGAAGCTTTTGAAAGTTTACTTTCTTTTGTCCTGTTTGTAATATCAGAGAAATCATGCCCAACACTAAGATAGGGGGAAGAATTTTTGCTAAGGACGACTTTCTTACAGTGCTGTGTGTTAAACGCACGCTGAGAGACGCCTTGAACTGGGGCATCTGCATGGGCGTGGACCTGTGACACTGCCAGTGAGGGAAGAGCAGGGCTGTCGTCCCGGAAAGTATTGATATTGTCCATGCACTCTTTCTACATATTGATTTAAAATTGAAATGTTGTTTGAGATGGACTCCAGGACACCAGCACTGAGGTAGAGGTGAATCCCTGATTGAGGTTCTGCTGGCACATGAAGAGAGGAGGAATAAAAGGGATTTTTGAGTAGAGAGGAGCAAAAGAGGAAAAAGGAAATGGGCAACCAGGAATTTTGAAAGGAGGTAAAATCAGCAGTGATAACGTTGACCCTCCCATGAAATCAGATTATTATCAGGGTGTTATAACTGAAGGATTCTGTGCTGCCGTGGCCTGAGAGTGGGTCAGAGGTCACAGGCCTGAAGAAAGCAGGGAGCTAGTAACAGACGCTGTAAATATGTTGTCCGTTGTTACTGATTAGTTCACCTATACTGAGGCAAAATTGAAATTAGGAAATTGACCCTGTAGGTTGAATAATAGGATAGGTATCATCATTTAAGTAGATTGAGAAGGGATTTCTCTTAGATGTAAACATTTCAAAGTGTTTGAAGTTTTTTCATGTTTGGGGATTGAATGCTGGAATTTGGCTCAGAGCTGCACGGCCCCATATTTCTTTTTTAATTTTTGAGAGCTGTTCTTACTCAGTTGCTCAGGCTATGGAGGACTTTTGATATTATTCCACCCCATTCACTGCTGCAAAAACAGGCATGTGACATAGTTCAAGATGGGTTCTGTAATCACCATGATTTACCCAGATTTCAGTGCCAAAATGGAGTAAGCATCAGAGAGGCTGGGTGGTGGACACTTAATTGCAGCTGCTTGGGGACTGCGACAGGAGTATTACAACACCAAGCCCAGCCTCGACTGTTGAACTAGATCCTCTTTCAACATGAAGTAAATATTTTGGGATATTCCTCCCATGTAACTTGCATGACTCTTTTTACTTCTAAAGAAAAACAACAAAAAAATTTAGTGGAAATAAACTACTCTCACTAGTGGTATATGGTACAGTATCTTCTCATGCTGGTGGACAGCAGTCAGATGTCACTGCTCTGTCACCAATGGGACACCTACAGTAAATAGCTAGTGATGTGCAGTGTATTGGGGTCCACAGTGTTCATGAGGCAAGGGATATGTATTCAGCACATTTAAGGAAGTCTTGACAATGTTATCTGATTAATCAGTGATACTCTGTGCATTTTCAGTGCACTTAATTTCCTACTTTCTTTGGGTTGATCACAGTATTTTCCCTTCTATCTCAGGTAATATATTTTTCAGCTGGGCAGGGTGACTTTCACGTGAAACCAAAGCACTTGTGACTGAAATAAAGGAGTACAAGTACAAGTTTGAAGCCAGCCAGGGCTATGTAATGAGTTCAGGGCCAGCCTGAACTGCATGGCGCGAGGCCCTGTCTCAAAAAAGACAAAAAAAAAAAAATACCCACACAAATATTATGTAGCTTCTAATACAGAAGTAGCACAAATAATAGGAAAGGAATCATTTTACAATTCTAATTTGTTTTATTACTGCAGTGGTGTAATAGTGCCCCTCAGTTACAGTAAACATGCAGTTTACCACTGAACTGCACTTAGTTTGTTCATGTTGTTTTCTTGCAAAATGTTGTTGTTTTCTTGCAAAATGTTGTTCTCTTGCAGCTCACTTTGTAGCCCAGGCTGATCTCGAACTAGCAAAGATCCTCCTGCCTCGGCCTCCCGAGTGCTGGGATTATAGGCATGAGCCACCACGCCCGGCTAATATTTGTGTTTTGTAATTAAAGGAAAACTTATGTCACAGCAAAAGTTTTTGTAAATGATTTTTTTGGGAAAACATTTCTTGTTTTCTATCAATCTAAGTATATCTAATACCTCTGAATATTTCCAAGCGAATTAGAAATAATAGCTTTTAGTTGCATTTCTAATAGATGGTACATTTTCCACTAAAACCATGTATGTATGTATATTGATTGAGGTCAGTTTGTATCTGAGTGAAAATATGCTGTTTCATACTTGAATTTCAGGGAAATTTTATGGAATATTTGAAATTATATGATGGTTTTGTACAAAAACCATCTTTTGGTAAGTTGTCCAATTACGATCTTTAAATTGTGATCCCCTTGCTTTTGTCTTCTGAGATGCAGAGTTTGCAAGTATACAGCACCTTCCCATCTCTTTTTCTTTTTCATTCAGTGGGAAGTAGGATATTGGATTGAACGCTGATATACAAGTCAAAAATACATCAAAACACTGAAATAATCAATAAAATAATGAGATCTCAGCAAATACATTTTATTAAATAAACCAAATATATGTTTCCAAGAATATTCTCACTCTGAAAGGTAATGCACCCAGTTCCCCCGTGCCTGGTTGCAGTGCTCCAAATGCATGTTCTTTCCTGCAGTTAGTGTTTTAAAAAAACCCAGTTAGTTGTTCGGCTGTGGCTTGAGAATTTAATATACTCCTGTCATGTTTAGCTTTCTCTATAGTGAACATCAAGGCAATTATGACTCAGTAGATGAGAAAAATGACAGTGTAATTAATGCCTATTAAGTGCTCAGGGATGTAAGTTATTAAACTGTCATTTGGTTGGTGTCACAGTTTAAATGTCCGCACTGTGTCTTCACCCTGTCCTGGAGCCCAGCGAGCAGCAGCCCCGCCTGCTCAGAAGCACCGAGCCCTGTCCCAGTCTGTCCTCTGCGGCCTCTCGGCTTTCCCAGGGCAGCTCCCTTCCAACTGTGTCCAGTGTCCTCACACATGGTGGCAGCCTCTTGTGCCTCTGCTCTGCATCACCTGTGTGTCCTGGGCGCCCCAGAGCAGCTTGTTCTTTCCCTCTGCTGCGCTCCGTTCTTGCTTATTGCCGTGGGCTGTGCCCACTACTTGCCTGTTTGCCCAGCTCTGAACTACAGTACACACTTTAGCCTCTGTGGCAGCGTCTGCCTTGTGGCTGTCTCCTGGGATGTGTTTGTTCAGTTATGGTGACAACAGTGGGTTTCTGTGAGGCCTTGTGTGACTCTAAAGTCATCTAAGATTCTCCCTGCCCCATTTTCCCTCATGAGGGGGCCCGTGCAGAGCTGAAAAGCTCATCAGGCACGTGGTCTCATGAGCTGCTTAGTCCTCATTGTCCCCTGCTCTGTCTTCATTGTATCTGCCACCTTCAGGGCTCCATGCTGAGGGACAGCACATTGCCTTAGAATTCTGATCCATAGA